AGAGAGAGAGAGAGAGAGAGAGAGAGAGAGAGAGAGAGAGAGAGAGAATCAAAAGATCATCAAATTGTGTTCTAAAATTCTCTAGCAGAAATCAATTGAGGAAGCTCTTTAATGTAGGCAACTGAACTTCCTGGTAGAGAGAATCCTGTCAGAAGTGTCACTTTGGGCAAGGTTTCCAAGACCAAGAGCAATCACATCAGGAAAGTAGTATCATCAAACTGAGAGCTTACAAATATCTCCCAGAAGCTGACTGGGGAAGTTGAGGTAGTAACCTTCATTTTCTGCTCCTTCCTCCTTAGACATTTTGATAACACAGAATAAAGAACAGTAGTCCTGTTGGAAATGGTTTTGCTCTAGGTATTTTTAATATTAAGAAGTTTTATTCCTGGGCTGCCACAGGATTAGGGCAGGAACCCGTTCCCAGCCAAAAGACTGTGGACTATAGTCACGGCTCAGTGAAAGTCTGTTCAAGATGTTTAGTATTTAAGAGGAAGGTATGCATGAAAATCAGAGTACTTTCCCTAATGACATCAGAAGCTGTAGAATAACTGGTATGTGATATTTATGAAAAATAAATATCTGGTATATGGGGTGAAAATAAATAACTGGTATATGGGGTGAAAAGGCCAGAAATTGTTCTGACTGCACACTAAGTGTAGCCCAGTATGTTGGCAAGGTGCTATCAGCAGACCTTGAACTTCATAATTGAATGTTCCTGTCATGCTAGGAAGAACATCTCTAATCTTGTTAGCATTCCTTCCAAGAGTCCAAAAACTTTGGAATCACTTTTAGACTTGGACTAGGTCCAATAATGTATCAAGCCACAGATCTGATGGTCCTGGCCAAAGAGGTGACAAACTTCCTGTCTTTGTTCAGACCACGTTCCAGCACTATAGCCAGGAATGGTGTTGGACTTCGCTACTGCTGCACAGACCATAAAATACAAACATCCACATGAAATATCCCCTTTACAAAGACGGCAAACAAAATGAGTCCTTGTGGTGTGACAGGGGCTCGTTTTCAACCTTCCATTTTTGATCAACTAAGGAAAAATTAAATGCTGACCAGCATATTAGGTTATCATTTATATAAAGGGGGGTGTATATAAATAAACATATTGTATATAGTTACAAACTTTTCTTGGAATAGAAATAGTCAATGCCATTTTAGGAAGAGGGGGACTTTTCACCAGACATCACACATAAATTTTAATTTGTGAACTACATGTATGCTAACTGCCCCAACACCACCACCACTGAAGAAAGAAAAATTCTGGTTAAAAACTGAGACAGGAAAACAGCTATTAAATGATGGAATGCAGAAAAGGAGATAGAATACAAGTTCACCCAAAGGGCAACTTTTGTACTTCCCTTGTTTTTACATCCCTAACAAGAGACTGTCACTCTGGAATTCAGTCACATTGTAATATTGACCTTACTTTGAATAAAAACAAATACTTGTGAATTTTCTCTGGTTAGCCTGCTTCCCTTTCACTGTAATCAAATCCATTTAAACATTAGCTGAGCATTCCAGAGTTAAAACAGACTTTCATTGCCAACGCCCTCTCTGGAGACTGTTAAAAGTAGCTTAATTCTTTTCAATCATCATGAAATCTTTATGAGGTAGATACTGCCCTCACTTTTACAGATATGAAATTAGAGACAAAAAGATGCTAGATTAGAGTCTGGCATTCTGGATCCAGTTTTTTCACAACTGCCCACATGTCAATTATAACTTTTCATCTAATTAATGAGTACAGCTTTTCTGTTTCTTAGGGATACTCTGCATTTCTTTCTAGTGAATATTAGTTTTTCTTAAAAAAAAAAAAAAGAACTTGTTGTGTGTGTGTGTGTGTGGTCTCTGCGTATGTACTCGTGCATGGAGGTATAATTTCCAGTACCATGGTTAATTTAACTCAGGTTCTAATTAGATGAAAATGTCAAAGGCTGGGGCATAGTTCACATTCACAAAGAACCCTGAGGAATTGAAGACTAAAAACACATTAGTAATTTTGCAAATGTGTTTAAAACACAGAGAGCTGTTAATTTTACTACCATTGCTTAGCAGGGAATTTTACCAAGTTCTAAATTCTATTTTTATTGCTTTTTAGGATTTCATCAAAGGTCTTTCCATTTTGCTTCGGGGGACAGTACAAGAAAAACTCAACTGGGCATTTAATTTGTATGACATAAACAAAGATGGCTACATCACTAAAGAAGTAAGAGTTGGCACACCAGTTCATTTATCCTCTGAGACAGTTTTTGTTCAACTTCAAAACATTAAACAATTTTAACAGTTATTTTAAAATAATATTTTAGGGCATCGAAATATTTATCTTATGAGGCTGTTGGTAGCTATGAGACACACTGTAATAAAATTAACTGGAATAGATAGGACTTATTTGTAACACAAAACACATCAATGTTATATTCTCTTTTTTTTCTGCGATTGATATGGGAAACATTGGGATCCTTGGGAGTAACAGAGGCCTTCTCATGACAATAGTTTTAGGGGGGAAGGGTACCAGAAACTCAAAAGCCACCAAAGCTACACCACCCAGTGGTTGCCTGGTATTTCTCTTCATTGGGGTGGATCAGGACAATGGTGGGGGTCTACAAACACAACTGGAGATATCAATGAAAGACATTCACAAATTAAAATGCTGGTTTATTAAGACAATTTTAAAAAGCAAGAGAAGAAAGGAAAGTAACCACCTTAGTGAAGGATGTAAGACTAAAAGAACATTTTTCCTAAAGCCTGCGCATACTTAATGGCCTTTCTCTGTGCATTAATAGCTTGAATAAAGGGTCCCATGTGAGAAAAAGTACTCAGGACCAAAGACATGAACATACCTGTCAGATACACAGACTCGGTATCAGGACACCACTGTTTGATTAGTCACTGGCAGAGGATACATGGAGTCAGACTATATGTCATCAAGGAGTATTAAATTTAAGACTTCATGAATAGACACACCTCTTGTACTTCAAGAATACTGAAGCACATAGAGAACACTAGGAATCTTCCTCCTTCCCATTTGAACCATTCTTTTGTTTCTTTAGAACTGAAAACTGAACAGAGTGCTAATGTTCTATCCTTTTCTGTGTTTAATAGAGCTCATCAACTCTTCCTACATTTTATAACTAACTTATTTTACTATGTATTTCTCTTTAAAACATCTTTTATATATTCACTTATTTTTGCAAACTGCTTTGCCACCTAATCCATACTCTCAAAAGTAAATATGAATAGAACTGTGTCATCCAATTAATCTAGGATGTTTTTCATGTCAAACATTAAATCTGAATTAATGACATGGCAAAAACTAGATTTTACTTTAAAAACTAACAAAATGTTAGTTTTTCCTAGTCAAAATATTTGTGAATCTGTTTTCTTGTGTGACTTCTTTAGTTAAAGCCAAAACTAAAAGTGATAAAAACTGCAAGAACTTGTATTAATTAATTGAAATTAGCAGTTAGACTTCTAAATCTAAAATATTTCTAATAAGTAGAAATCTACAATCAATAAAATGTGTAACTGTCCAATAAAACAAAGTCTCCGTAGTTTTTGAAAAATCAAAGTATTAAGTTAGACTATTCCTTTCCCAACCGAGATATATGGGGATCTACTTTATTGCAAAACTGAGCTCTCATGATTGTCACATTTGGATTCTACTGCTTTTAGGCAAGAGGCTGTTTGTTGGCTGTCGGCCAAGCAAAAGGCACCCTATAAAGAATTTAAGAAACAAGCAAATGAGACACTATGAACAAAATCTCCTAATGCATCTTAGATGGCTTTCTTCACACTTGGTGTGCAGCCTCACATGAGTGCCTTTCCATTTCAGGAAATGCTGGACATAATGAAAGCAATCTACGACATGATGGGGAAATGCACATACCCTGTCCTCAAGGAAGATGCTCCCCGACAGCATGTGGAGACATTTTTCCAGGTAGGAATGAACAATGTGAGCGAGGAAGGATGGTTATAAGTAGATTCCCTGATGCCTGCAAAAAAAAAAAATAAAAAATAAAAAAAAATTTGATGCAAAACAAAAACAAAAAACCAACAAAGCTGCAAAGAGAATGTCTATTCATAGGGATAGAACAATAGGACAAAACCTGCCTTAATTTCATAATCTGGGTTTTAAAATGTATTATGACAGACAATTGTACTTCCAGGAGAGTGACAATACCCTGACAAAGGAATTCTCCTATTTCAGAAAGCGCTGTAATGCAAGTCCCACAAGGACCTTAAAGATAACAAATTCTCAATATTCTTCTATTTTATAGATGAAAAATCCAAGGCTCTACATTTCAGGAAACTCTTTGAGTCCTGTCATATTTAAAAAGCAGTTTAGATGACTCATGCTTCACATTACACAAGGGAAAAAAAATCCAACCTAAAATGAATGGGCTTCCCCATTGTAGGAACTCACTAGTTCTTCCTGGCATGTAACTGTGCCATGTAACACAAAAGGATAGGTTCTATTCTTATCTCTTTGAATCTACTGGGTTTGGGGAGGCTATCAAAAGATGACTCAGTACAATGCTTTGTTCTTTTCTTTCCCAACAGAAGATGGACAAAAATAAAGATGGGGTCGTTACCATAGATGAGTTCATTGAAAGTTGCCAAAAAGTAAGTAAGGAAAAGGACTCTCCTTTTGTTCGCATCAGCTACAAGTGAGCACGGCCTGTTAGCCAGTATGAACTGGGAAAGATATAAATCAAGTGCGTAAGCTAATGAGACAGGCCTCTTACCTGAAAACAATCAGATTTATTCATCCCGTCCTACAGCATGCAATATGGATGTGAAAATGTAGTTGTGTACTCCCTTTGTTTCTGAAAACCTTTAGAGAAGATGCATTACAGACCAACAAACAAAACCACATCGATTTAAACTACAGTTCCTGGCGCTGCAGAGGTGGCTTGGTGTTTAAGAGTGCTTGCTGCTCGCCTTAAGTTTTCTTGCCAGCACACACAGGTCAGGATTCCCACAACAGCCTGTATCTCCGACTCCAAGGAATCTGACACCCTCTTCTGAATTCTGCAAGCTCACAAATGCTTGTGTTCACATACCTACATACACACATACATACATAATAAAAAAAAAACACTTTAATCTTTTCCAGACATAGTTCTTTTAAAACATGTTTTATTTATTTGTGTCACCATAAAACAGAATCTAGTGCAGCAGCCTATGGAACATTATATTGGTCTTTGTGGTTTTTGTTGTTTGGTTTGTTTTTTTGTTGATTTTTTTTTTTAATTTTAAGTTAATGTCTGGATAAGGATGTTGCAAGGAAGGAACATGCTACAGCACCCATGTGGAGGCCAGAGGTCAACTTTCACGAGCTGCTTCTTTCCTTCCTGTTATGATTTGCAAAGACTAAATTCAGTTCCTTAGCAAAGTATCACTGATTTAATATATAGACAGAAAGTAGCATTTCAGCTGAACACAACTGTCTCCAGTTATAAAAATAATGAGGAAAAACTTCTGAGCAGTCTAGTAGTTATGTGCTGCCTAGGAATCTGGACATAGCTCACCTAGTGTGATTCAACTCAACGCCTGAGTACAGCCATAACTGCAGGTCAATAAACATGGAGAAACATTTGCTGCTATTTCAGGTTTTTGTTTGTTTTTGTTTTTTTTTTCTCTTTCAATTGTTTGATTTTCAACATTGCTGACACCTGCTTGCTTCTCAACTCACTTTTCAAAGTCAACATCTCAGAGGTTCAAAGTGGTGATCTCAACCCCCTTAATGGTGACGTAATTTAGACAGGGACAGTGTTAGCACCACTGCTTTAGTGCTACCTAGCATACTTGGCTCATTAGCAGTGTTCACCCATAGTACAGAAATGTTCCTCAAGATCCCAGGCTGTCACTGTAGCTCATTTCTAAGAAATAGGCTAAGCTGAACACAACCACTGTGCAATGGTTTCTCCCAGCCAATTTCTCTGGGATTCAGAAACTATTCAGTATTAAAGACTCCTACAGGCACCATATAGATTTAGCAATAGCTGACAGTTAAAGAGACAAAATGGCTGTTAAGTGTATTGATTCGTCTCTGTCCTGGAATATGGATGTTTATATACTTCCTGTACTTTGACTTTCAATCTATCTGAAATTCCAAAGTTCTCATCTATTCCCTTTGGATAAACTCTGGAAGCTCGTGTGTGTGTGTGTGTGTGTGTGTGTGTGTGTGTGTACGGGCACGCATGTGTAAGGTTTATTTATACAAATAATATATACTTATATATGAAATGAGAGAGCGAGAGAAAGCGAGAGA